CCAAACTCTTCCCGAACTCTTCACTGGAGTAAAAAGCTCTTTCAGTTACTGTGAGCTGCAGGTTCCAGCTTTCCAGAACCTGCCTCAAGTTGTCCTGTTGGTTGAGCTGTAGCTGGCTGATGTGCAAAGACGTCTTCACCACAAGTTAAAAACACTTAAAAGGATCAATTCATTTTCAGAGAGATTTGTTTCAGATTTTGGTTTTCATGGTTTACGGGGAGCAAACAGAAACCCTTCTAGATCATTTGTAAAACTGCTAATGCATTCTAGCAGAAAAGCTGAAACTCCTATATTGTGGGTGGTGAGCTGTGTTGATGACTGGTGTGTCTTAATGCTCTACTGCACCAAACTGGTTTAAACTAAAGAAGGGAGTTATGCAACATATTGTAGACAGTGTATTAAAACTCTTACTGCCAGTTGCATTAAAACTATAAAAGTTCAGCTTGTAACCTGGGTGTCAGTACCTGGACTGTGGCCACCTGTTTTTGTCTCATGGTTGACTGCAGCTGTTGTGTAAGACGCAAAGATAATGGTGGTGAGTGACGTTAATCATCACTCAATTGTTTTGATGCTATGATCTGAAACCCATTTGTTCATATGTTCCTGTCCTTATGTTCCATTTTATGACGGCTTCTAAGAACATAACAGATAAACAACACTGAACTGTTGCATAAGAGCCTGGTCTCAGTTTGACTTCTAAAGATTCATAATCAGTATGATAGAATGTCTGACTTAAATCGATGTATGAACACTTTTAACATTAAACTTGAAAAAGAAAAAGCTACAAATATAATTACTTTGTGGAACTGTGGACTGTGGAAAGAAATACAACACGTTTCATTCAGCATACAGACAAACTGCAACTTAATTAAATTGCACAGTTGTATTTTTAAAACTAGGTCACAGAGTGAGAAGGGCCTCATCTTATCTGATTTCAGCATTTTAAGTAATTTTTGCCTTGTGTCTAATTTGTGTCTTGTTTTCTTTGGTCATGTAAAAATATTTTGGCTTTACAGTAAGAATATTTCCACTTTTTACTAGAATTGAGAATTCCATACCCTAATATAAGACCTAAATTAAATAATCGCTGGAATAAAGAACAATAATACTTTTAGAAACAGTTTGAAACTGACTTACTGCACTGACAGAACTGTTTAAATAAAACCCCAAGAATTCAGTTACATATAAAATGACTAGAATATAGTCATGGATTTGGCTGCCTGTGTAATCTTCTTGGTTATGTCCTTTGTATATGTTCTTTTTTCCACCAACACAACTGACTGTCTTCTATGCAAGTCCCAGCAATGATGCAGGATTAATGGGAGGTGAAGTCTTTAGGATTCACCCTCCTCTCTTGTACTGTATTTGTACCCATGTACATAATGTGGCTGTTAGCACATCCAGTCCCCTGAATAATTTGACCTTGTATCTGCCATATGTTATTTTCTCCTGGCAATGACAGGATTGTTTGTCTGACTGTGTCAAGTTCTTTTTCTTGGAGACAATGATTGACTCCTTGTTTCCTGCCAATCACAGAGCAGCTGAATGTTCTTGTTTTTCAGTCTTATCTGAGGAAATAATTACCTCCCCTGTATGCAAAGCCATACTTTTACTGCGTGTCTCAAACAGCCTACTTTTGTTCATGTTTCTTATCTGACTTTTGTCCCTGTGCAGATTATTTGTTTATCCATAAGGACATCTCACTACTGTACCTTATCCAGTGTTTTCCTTCTAAGTGTTTAACTTATTTATTACAAACCCGATTCCAAAAAAAGTTGGGACACTGTACAAAATGTGAATAAAAACAGAATGCAATGATGTGGAGGTTTCAAATTTCAATATTTTATTCAGAATACAACATAGATGACACATCAAATGTTCAAACTGAGAAAATGCATCATTTTAAGGG